GTAGACTCCACGCCTAGTGTGGAGCCCAACACAGGGCTTGAACTCATGACCCTGAGATCAAGACCTGAGCTTCAATCAAGAGTTGGATGCTTAACTGACTGAGCCACTCAGGCACCCCTCTTAGGTCATTTTTAACCTATCCTCTCAATTAAAAGTACGGCTGCCACTCCCAATTAAAACCTCTAACAAAGTCACATCTGCCAACTTGAACATCTCCTTTGACATTCTCACTGTTTCCGTGTTTCACCCAAACATGTAGATAGAGTGGCTTTTCAACAGAATTTTAGGAAAAGGAAAAAAATTTTAAGGAGCCACTGACCAGCATTTTAGAAATAAGATAAAGAGCCTAACACCATGACATTTTTTTTCTTTATATTTAAAATACAAAAAGACTGGGGCACCTAGGTGGCTCAGTCGTTAAGTGTCTGCCTTCAGCTCAGGTCATGATCCCAGGGTCCTGGGATCGAGCCTGGCATCGGGCTCCCTGCTCCGCAGGAAGCCTGCTTTTCCCTCTCCCACTCCCCCTCCTTGTGTTCCTGCTCTCACTATGTCTCTCTCTCTGTCAAATAAATAAAATCCTTTTTTAAAAATAAATAAATAAATAAAATACAAAAAGATAAACTGTGAACCATAAGCTATTTTAACAAACAAGACAGGAAGAAAACTTGACAGACATAAGTTACTCAAGGGATGTCCAGGTCATATGAAGCCTTTTCATGTTGCTACATTCCCCAAGGATTCCATATCTTGTCACACTAGCAAGAGAACATCCCCATTCAAGGAAGAGAGAACACTGACAGAAGAACACAAAAGGGAAATACAAGACACTGGAGGCTGAAAATCCAGGGTTCAAGCCTATTTCTGCCACCTCCCCTCTACGTGACATTGGAAATTCATTTAAAAATCTCTGGGTTGGTTCTATTTTTTTTTTTTTTAAGATTTATTTATTTATTTGAAAGTGTGTGCAGAAGCAGGGGGAGGGGCAGAGGGAAAGGGAGAGAATTCCCAAGCAGACTCCCTGCTGAGTGGGGAGCCTGATGTGGGCTCTATCCCAGGACTCTGAGATCAGGACCTGAGCTGAAATCAAGAGTCAGATGCTTAACTGACTGAGCCACCCAGGCGCCCCCTGCATTGGTTTTCTTATCTATAGAGATAATAAAGCCCCACCTACCTAGTAGAGCTATTGTGAAGATCAAAACTCAGTAAACACGGAAGCACACTGTAAAGTACTTTACAAACATTAGTTTTTTTAACATACTATTATTCTCAGCTCTACACCTGACTCAACACCTGAACCCAACCAAGAGTCTCAGATGTGAATGGCAATGTTTCGTTCCCACCCAGGTTAAATGTTAGGCAATGCACTGTGCCATAATCCCAATTCCTGATCACATTAGTTAAGGGGACATTCGCTACAGTTCTGGAATTATGGCTAAGATGACCACACACCGCACCTATCTCGGTTTGCCTGGGACTGTTTCAAAATGAGCATCGCTTTTCACTCTCAAAAGTGCTCCAACTAGAATGATGAATTATACGGCCATCCTAATACAGCAGACATAAAGTTATGGCACCAAGAGATGGCAAGGGGCTGGCCTCGGGATTCCCACTGTACTCTCCAGAAGCCCCCGAAAGCCATCCTAAACAAATAATGTTGGCAAAAATAGTAAGCTTGCTATGTAGAACTAAGCCCCCTTCTAATCAGACTGATACTCCTAAGGCCCTCCCATCTAAAAACTCTGTGGAGTTAATACACACAAACATTCTCTCATTTAAAAATCTTACAAACCCACAAAATATTCCAGCCTTAACACTCAAACAAGCACCTGCGCATATACATAAACCACAGAGAAACAATCAGCTGGGAATTTAAACCGCTATATCGTATCACCAATCCAACCTCCTGCACAGCCTTAGGTGAGACACTCAGCCTTCCAGCTGGTTTTCACTTCTGTAAATCTGGACAATGTTCGTCTCCTGCACTTCCACAGAGAGAGCCCATTAGCAAGCACGGTGAAGTGCTTGGAGTGCTTTATGAATGCAATGGCTTGTAATCTCCTAAAGCTTGCTAACTGATTGGGAAAGAAGGCTGGGGTAACTGCACATAAAAAAGCAAAACCTCTACAAGGTGGCAGGTGTTTTTTTCCCTCCTTTGCTCCACAGGTTTCTAATTCAAATATGCTGGTGGGAGCTTACATAACAGCATGAAAAAGGTCACTGAACAGTGAGATGCTGGTCTACTTGGTGCTAAGGAACTCAGGGGTAATAATCCTTAACCAGGGGCCATGGCTTCCTAAATCTGCGGCTGAGCTTCATGAGGCCTACGAAGCCGCCAAACGATAAATGAAGTATGGGAGTGAGCAGGCACGCACGCACACGACCACCCAGGGAACAGTCCCCAGGACACAGGAAAGGGCCCTCAACAAAGAGAAGACAAATTTCAGTTCTTATGCAGCTACTGTCTGGTATGGTTACCCTGGATAAGTCACTTTATCTCTGTGTGCCTCAGTTTTCTGCTCTCTCCAAAGGAAGTGTTTGCTTTATCTACTTCAAAAGGTGACTGTGAGGATGAGGTGGGAAAGTACGATGACAGTGCTCTAGGAGGACCAGGATTTTAACATTGCCTCTTTTAAAATCATGAGGAGATGCTAATAAAAATCCTGTCTGGGGACGGTTCCTATCTGTTTAGAAAGGAACAGCAAAAGAATGAGGGCAAATAAATACACACAATTAAAATTCACCTTCACCTCACCCTCCTGGCTCCTGGATTTGCCGAGCCAAACCACTCTGGGGAGACGTAAAGATCACAAGTTCAGTCTCTGCCCAGTTCAGGCTGCTCAGTGACCAGTGCTGCACACTGATAAATGCCTCCCAAACCTCAGCGCACAAAGTGAGAGTTCACAAGGTTAGGCGCATTAATTAGCAGTACTCATTTGGATTCTGTATTCATCAAATACAACAAGCAGCTATTCAATATTTGCCTGTTTGCACTGCTCTAAGATCTCTAATTCAAAGATCCAGCCAGAGAACAAAATAAAGCCCAAGAAAATAAACTAATATAAACCTGTCACCATCAGAATGTGCCTCAAAGTAAATTAGCAGCTTTAAACTATGGCAAAAGGGTCTGCATAGACCTACAGCAGAGACAGTATGAGTAATGAAGATGCAGGTTACAGAAGTGGGTCCCTTCCACAAGAGAAAGGAAAAATAAAGCAGTTCCAAGCAACTGTGCTTTAACAAATTCCTCTTAATTCCTTTTGCTTAGTTTCTTATTGATCTGCAATCCCCACAGAAGAACAGAGCATTATACAGTACCTTTCAGATCCTTTTAAATTCAGTACGTCTATTCCCATACTTTACTTCAATTAGTTTTACCTTCCTCTATCTAAAATAAGCCTATATCCAACATAAGCAAAATTTTATAAATAGGTAAACATATGCACTGGTATCCAAGACTGGATAGAGACTGACCATAATCCTTTATGTTTTAAAGGTCCTAGGTAAAAAAAGTACAGGATGAAACAGAAAATGTCACTCCTTTTAAAGTAGCCCATAGGACTACAGTTCTCGACCCCGGCTGCAAAACAGCATCACCTATAAGGATTTCTAAGTATGTGAATGACTAAACCCGATTTTAGACCTACCAGTCAGAACCTCTGGGGGCTGATCTCTAGGAAGTAGTACTTTTCCTGATATATGGCCACGATATAGAACTACTATCAAAGGGCATAAATTTCACAGCTTACAAAAGCTCTAGAGCAGATCCAAACCAGAAAGAGAGAAAGAAAGAAAATCCCCTACATTTTCTTTAGATTTGAAGTAAATGACTGTATCTTTCAACAAAAACTTCCATAGGGACACTTCAATGCCAACGGTGATGATCCCACTGGGAGATGAACACAGAGATCAACACCACTCTCCCTCCCCCTTTTTCTCCATACCCTACCTGGGGCTGGTCTGATGCCAACCCAGCACCAAAAGTGCAAGAACTGGGCAAGTACTCAAACAGATGACCGCTGATGATGGGGCCATCCTAGTTGTTAAGATCAGCTTCAGGGGCTCTGATGAGATTCAACTATGTCACAACACTCTGGTTTAGCACTCTGATGACACATGTCCTTTGGACAAGCCTAATAGTGAGGGTCTTTTTGGACAACCCTATAGGAAAGTTGGATAGGCATTCAAAGATAGTGCTAGGAGCTACCCTTTCAAATCTCCTGAAAAATATCTATATGCCCAAACAGCAAAGAGGCAAATTTCAGAGGGTAGGTATCTTAAGCCACATCATTCCTCTGAGGCAGCTTTACCTGTTCTTCCAACCTAATGCGGCTTCAGCCTCATCTGCCCAAGGTTTCAAACAGTGGAAGGATAGGGAAGGCATTTTATGCACTCACCTAAAGCATCCAGAGGATGTCCTCATAGGAAGCAATACTGCTCTACCCACAGTACGACCTGGGCTTTCTTCCAATCATCATCCGCATCTAACAAAGAAATGCAGCAGAAACTTCCCTCTCTCAAGCAAGCCTTCCCTGATTAAAACCATAAGGCTGAATTCCCCCAGGAAGGAGAATGGAATTTTCTTGTTGCAGATTATTGCAAGGACTCAAAAAAAATCTGTGCAGGCAGGGGCTAAGTGGCAGAGAATTAAGAGACAAACCCAGCACTTAGAATTATGAGACATCAAGAAAACCAGGTTAAAAAATTACTATCAGCCTGGAGAAGAAAAAACAAAAGCAATTATGGCTGTGCCTGAGTGATTTTTTTCCCTGTAATATCCACAATTTCAGTAACATGATTACAATTCTTTTAGGATTAAAAAATATATTTTATTTGTATCTTTAAATATAAAGTCATTGCTGAAACTAACCACATCACTCTCCAAAATTATTTCAGGAAATGCTCTCTACCATAGCATCCTTAGAATGAACACACACACACACACACACACACACACACACACACACACACACCCCATCTGAGTTATAACAGCAGATACCAACCTGGCTGTCCCGTGCTGGGAATCCATGATAACCTTGGGTCAGAGGCTCGTTCTAAGAGAAAGAAAAGAAAATCAAACTATAAGACAAAAGAAAATGTTAAGAATCACCAAAATCATCCAAACTGATCAAATATAAATTCCTGCAACAGTTCCTAAGATGTTCCATTGCTATATTCCACTCTAACTACATACCTCTCCCAGTTCAGCCTCTATAATGGCAAAACCCAAACCAAACAAATAGTATTTGCTTCAAAAAACTACTCATAAACACTATTTTCCTCCTTATACAGCTAAATCTGTTTCCTTCCCAGTATATTTCAAATAGGGAGCCACTGTGATTTGAGGCAAATCAACTCCTAACTTCACACTGTGGGACTTTAGCCTCCTCGGCCCGAAACAACTAAAAGCCTGTAGCAATCCTAAACACAAGGACAACCAAAAACATCCACACTTTCCCAGAAGTCTCCTGGCTGAACAGTACCACCCGTTCTGAGAACTACCTCTTGCCCTAGAAGTTTTAGCCACTCCCCTCTATCAACATGTGTTCCTTCAGTTCTTTGAACCCTACATGAAATCCCACCTCTGCTTAGGACTTCCTCTACCGCCCTATATCACCCTATGGACCCAAGTGACTCCTAACATGTATATATTAAAATGCATTTAAGCTATTTGTACAATTTCCTTTTCATATAATTTATGACTCAATAAATCTTATTTTCATAAAGGTGTAGCATATCGAGTGTCTCATCTTCACATTAACCACTAAATCAAGATCCTTGAGGGCAAGAATGATAGCCAATAAAAGTTGGCTATATACTAAATTAGTATAAGGTCATATGATATGAGCACTCATTCATGGCTTGACCCATTCAATCATTCAGTCAACACATACTGAACACCTACTTTTTTTTAGAAAGAGAAGGGGGGAAGAGGGGCAGAGGGACAGACAGAACTTTAAGCAGGCTCCACGCCCAGTGTGGAGCCCGATGCAAGGCTCGATCTCACAACCCTGAGATCATCACCTGAGCCAAAATCAAGAGTTGGACGCTTAACTGACTGAGTCGCCCAGGCTCCCTGAACACCTAATATTTTTAAAGTACAGTTAGATGATAGTCATCAGTAAGAAAGATCAATAACACAAGGCCCTTGCCTTCAAGTGAACTTTTAAATGGGAGATCTATGTGCACACCCAAGTGTAAATGAGAACATATGGTGCTTTTGTAGTTTCTTCAACATGCTCAACACAGCTACCTGGAAAATACTCACCCTCTTTTTCCATCCATCCATACTTTCATTCTAACTAGCAGAATAACAAGGTAAGAATTTGCATTGACAGGACTTTCAAATATTGGCGAGAGTACTTTCCCACCAATGACAGATCTGCTTTGATTATATCCTTATCTTTGATAATCAAACATCCACACTGCATTCAAAAACATGAAGCCAGGAGCCAACGTGAGCTCACTGCAGAGACACCATGTCTGTGCACTGCGGTTTCCCTGCAATCTAGCACAGTGTCTAACACACGGTGGGCACACAAAACAATGGATAAATAAATGGAGTTCAATAAGCTGAAGTTATTTTGGCATTCATCACTGATTCAATCATAGAAAATCCACGTTCTCCTTTTTGATTCCTAAGTCTCTATTTTGGACATTTATAAATTCAGTCTCCCCAGAGAAAGCACACCAAAGATAACAGCCTTAAAAAATTATAGGTGCCAAACAATCCTGAGACAGAAGAGTAAAGCTGAAGGATTCATGTTTCCTGATTTCAAAGTTTCCTGCAAAGCAACAGTAATCAAGATAGTATAATACTCGCCTGAGGGTAGACATATAGACTGATGGGCTACAACTGAGAGTCCTGAAATAAACCCTTAAAATTACGTTAAAATTATGATTTTTGAAAAGGGTGCCAAGAAAATCAACGGGGGTAAGAACAGTCTTTTCAACAAATGGTGTTGGGACAACTGGCTATCAACATATAAAAGAATGAAGTTGGAACGCTATCCTACACCATACAGAAAACTCAAAATAGATCACAGATCTAAAACCACAAAACTCTTAGAAGAAAACAGAGAAGCAAATCTTCATGACTTTTGGTTAGGCAATAGTTTCTTCAGTATGACATCAAAAAAACAAGTGACAAAGGAAACAACAGACAAATTGGACTTTGACAAAATTAAAAACTTCTAGGACTCAAAGGATACCATCAATTCTGGGAATCTGATGTCTGGCATAGTGATTACAGTTAATAATACTGTATTATATACTTGAAAGGTGCTAAGAACGTAGATCTTAAACGTTCTCACCATAACAAATAAATAGTAATTATGTGACATGAGGCAGGTGTTTGCTAACACTGCGCTGGTAATCACTTCCCAATATATAAGTGCACCAAATCAAAACCTTGTACACCTTGAACTTATACAATGGTATAGGTCAATTATACCTCAGTAAAGTGAGGGGGGGACTCCATCAATAAATGAAAAGACAACTCACAGAATGGGAGAAAATACTGCAAAAGTCATCTGATAAAGTGCCTGTATTTAAAATATATATAAAGAACTCTTAAAAAGACAATCTAAATTTTATTTTATTTTATTTTTTTTTTTTAAGATTTTATTTATTTGAGAGAGAAAGAATGAGAGACAGAGAGGAGCACAAGCGGGAAGAGGGTCAGAGGGAGAAGCAGACTCCCCGCTGAGGAGGAAGCCTGATGCGGGACTCGATCCCGGGACTCCAGGATCATGACCTGAGCCGAAGGCAGTTGCTTAACCAAGTGAGCCACCCAGGCGCCCAAGACAACCTAAATTTTAAAATGAGGAAAGGATATGCACAGGAAGTTCTCCAAAGAAGAAATACAAATGGCCAATAAGTACATGAAAATATGCTCAACCTCATTAGTCATTAGGGAAATGCAAATCAAAATTGCAATGAAAAAATACTTCACACCCGTTATGAAAAAAAGACAAACTTTAGTGAAGATGTGGAGAAACTGGAATTCCATACATTGCCAGCAGGAATATAAAGTGGTAAAGGCACTCTGGAAACAGTCTGCCAATCCCTCAAAATGTTACAACAGAATTACCATATGATCCAGCAATTCCACATTAGGTATAAGGAATAAAACTGAAAACACAGATCCACACAAAATCTTGTACTGGAATGTGCATAGCAGCTTTATTTCATAATCACCAAAAAGTGGAAACAATCCAAATGTTCACCAGTTGATGAATGGATAAAGTATGATATAACCATAACTGAATGTCAGTGGGTAACACAAAGGAACAAAGTCCTGATACAACATAATATTGAAAACACCATGCTAAGTGAAAAAAAAAAAAAAAAACCCAGCAAATTGTATGACTCCATTTATACAAAATATTCAGAATGGACAAATCCATAGAGAAAGAAAAGAGATTAGCAGCTCTAGGGGATAAAAGGGTGAAATGGGGAGTAAGTGGTAACAGGTACTGGGTTTGGTTTTGGTGATGACAACGTTCTGGAATTAGTGATGACAGACGTTCAGCTTTATGATTATACTAAAAACTACCAAAACACTAAAAACTACTAATATCACTTTAAAAGGGTGAGATTTGGGGCACCTGGGTGGCTCAGTCAGTTAAGCATCTGCCTTCGGCTCAGGTCATGATCCCAGGGTCCTGGGATAGAGCCCCGCGTCGGGCTCCCTACTCAGTGGAGAGTCTGCTTCTCCCTCTGCCCCTCCCCCTGCTCGTGCTCTCTCTCAAATAAATAAATAAATCTTTTAAAAAATAAATAAATAAAAGGGTGAGATTTATGGTCTGTGAATTCTATGTCAATCAACCTATTATTTAATAACAATAATAATAATGGGCCACGGTTAGCTGCTTTCACACTCATTTTTACAGGGGAGACATATACAGCTTAGAGACAACAAAAAGAACAGGGCTCCTTCTGAAATCCACAGTGTCTTGTTTGTTCTGGATTCTGTAATTTACTTTGACACCATTCCCTACAGATTTTAACAGCAATGATGATGATAAAGATGGTGATAACGACTAGACACTGAGCAACTAAATCAGGTATAGTTTCAGGATGGAGGCGAGGAGGAGCAGAAAGCAGCAAAGAGAAGGAGATAATAAGCACAGGACTGAGTAAGGAAAAAAATTTCAACCCAGGTCTGTTGGACTCCAAAGCCCCTATTCTTTCCATTTTATCAGCTTCTCTTCTACAATAACCATTCCATATTATTTTTTTACAGTAACTATTTTAAGATTGTCTGAGAAAGAAGTTATATGATTAAGAAAGTAATGGAAAACATCCAAAAGCAAAATTAACCTGCATCACTCCCAGAGAATATCCCACATATAAACTATATTCTTGGTTCAACAATGCAGAGAACTTTTTATAAGGAAAAAAATCAAACCTACAAGCTGGTATTGTCAGAAACATTAACAGCAAAGACAAATGTAGCAGGCTGCACAGATAGATGTCAGAGGAAATGGACTCATTCCTCCACGGGCCTTGGCAAAGTCAAGCTCCTCTCTCTCCCCCATCTCTCAGGTAAGGTTATCTGGAACTCACCAGCCCTCAGAAACTCCTGCCTCTGAAAGCAGCCTACCCTTAATGACAAAGGCTTGCTTTCCTTTTTAATTTTATCATGTATAAATATGTCCCTTCAAAATGCATTAACTCTGCATGTTTTTTAATTTATAGAAATGGATCTTATCATCTGTATTCTTTAGCAATTTCCTTTTCTTGCTCCAGACTAGGAGATGAATCCCCCTTATGCATCTTTACTGGATCTCAGTAGCTGTGACTCCTGTTTAGTACTCTATCTTACAACTATGTCACAGTTTATTCACCTCTTATTTTCCTCTTAATAGATTTTTACATTGTTTCCAATTACGCTTTTTCTTTGCACTCACAAACCATACTGTCTATGAACATTCTTTTGGATTTGAGATACCATTTTTCACTCATGAGACTGGCAAAAATGAAAAAGAAAATATCACAAGTTAGCAAGAAGAGTAAATAGGCACCTTCGTATCTAATAGTCAGAATATAA